TCTCCGAAAAATCTGCATTGTATCTATTTCTTAACCTTGTGTTTTCAATTCAGTAAGGTTTTCAATGCAACTGAAAGCGAAGGAGCGATTTGGCAAAGCAGGACCAGCTCACTATAAGATAACAATATTGCTTTTCTCGCCATATCCAATGAGAAAAGTAATATCTTTATTATTTTATATCCTGTTGCATATTATATTATATCCGCCTTATCAACAACTAAAATTTCAGATCTTATCAGTATTTTTATATTCTAGCGTATCAATCCTATGAGAGAAGAATTCTGGTTTGAGGAATGTACATATATTGTTGGAAGAAATCTTTAGCTAAGCTTTCTATAAGAAACATGCCTTCATCTGCAGTACTGAATGTCTACTTGTCGTGTGATCCATACTAGCAGAACTTCTCAACACCAGAACATTTGGTCATATTGATTTTGTGCAAGACGGTTCAATACAGATGTGAATGTTCTCGGAATTCGATATCAACTTCTTATAATATAACCTTCTGTATTAACCGCACATTAATCGACAGGATCGCAGTAGTGATGTCAATGAGCATTACACAGCTCATTTCCAGACAATCCACATTCTCAGATATTGTCAACATCGTGAAATTCAACCACCTTCATTTTATAGTAGAGGGATTTTGACTCAGGAAAAGTATATTCCCTCGTCGAAGAGTAATATTCATTGTCGAACGAAATTTTCAGCNGTGCCGATAATTCCTGACATGAAAAATTTTCATATGATAAGTGCACAAAACAACAGCTTAATCATGAACTAATTATTTATTCAACATCTCCAATACACAATGTATGCAGCATCAGAACATTTTCCGATTTCACATTCTTAATCAGAATAAAATTTCAAGGAACAATAATAAATCACTTCGAATTCATCGTGGTAATGAATATGAATACAAAGGTTCAGAATTCCAACAACAAAAGATACATCTTCAGAAACACTGATAAGTGTTCATATCAAACGTAAGAAAATGAATCATCATAAGGAATCATCACAATGATATTGAGAAAACAGTTCGAAACACAAAATTGCAGAAAAATCACTGAAAATAAAATTCAATGATAATATCGAAATCATGACGAGTTATGGGAATGACTTTAATAAGTTTTCAAATAATGAACAACAATAACGAACAATTATCCAAACGATTAGAAATAAACGTTAACCGTGGATGATCTGCAATGGTATTCACGGAATCCACAAGTCTCACTGAAAAATCAGAATGGCATTCACAATTAAAATCATAATTACACACCAGAAATTTAATCATTTCAAAAGACTAAATGTATTGAACGGTCCGAAAAAAAAGCGAGTACAAACAAGTTTAATCAAAGCATAATCAAATGAACATCCGAATATCTCAGAAGTCTTCAAAGATATAACCCAATGATTATGGAACACAAAGACACAACTTATTCGCTTTAACTGGTCGTCAGAAAACAGTATGAAAACAACAGGATATTTAAATGATGTATTATCATATGACCAGCAAACATGAAGGATTTTAAATCCCCCTTATGAAATCAGAAGGATTCAGCGGTAGTCATTGCTCACTGTTAGAACTATTGAGCTGGTGCTTTGGCGATTCGTTTCTGAGTGTTCGTTTAGACGTTGAACACAATTGAACTGAAGAAGCAATCTAAAGAAATGAAAACAGTACAAATTATCGGGAAAAATATGAATGAGAGTAAATCAGTGATACGGCTGCAATGAATGAGAATAAAAGCGTGATATGTTGATGTGATCACGCATTCAATAGCGTTAGGGATGAGAGTAGTAAGACATCGTTTCAAGTAGACATAAAAATTCGAGAATGACTATGGAAAATGAACAGGTAGAAGAGAACAGTTTTCAATGGAAGAGTTGTTCACAATGTACACAAGCAAACAATTGCATGCTTTGCATGCGCCTCTACACAACCTTCCATCTGTACTGTACAGTTGATTTTTGTTTCTTATAATCATGATCTCTCATCACTCTCATGCATGATTTTACTAACTACATTATTGTTGCATTGAATCATGACGAACTTCTCATTCACTACAATCGTATCACTGATTCGCTCTCATCCCTTCTTTCTCCAGAAATGCACACTCCAGGAATTTGTCTACCATTCAGTTTCAGAACAATTGAATTTACCATGAAATAAACGTGCGCGAAACGATTTGGCACATTACGTCAAAGCCACCTTGAGCCGCAAATATCGCTTGTGCTTATAATCCAATGAAAGTGGGTGATCTTGAATCATCAACGGCTCATATTTGTTCTCACAAAGTTTCCTTCTCTTATTGTACTCATAATATGAGCTAAAATATCTCAACATTGGTGGATATGGCTCAATCTTCTACATTTCGAGCTGTATCGTCATCAGGTGATGAGCATAAAAGCACTGTGCAACCATCAAATTGTGGTGGTCTGATCGGTCGAGAAGGTATACGTTTTATTTCATTCGTTAAATTAGATAGGATCAAGAGAGATAAGCACGAAGAACATCAAAATTGACAAATATCCGGCGATGGTGGTTGCCTAATTCATATCCAGAGAAAAATTGTCCATTTTGTGATAACTGTATTTAAGATTACTCAAATTTATTCTTTATTGAATCAGATTTTCTTTCTCGAACTGTTCGTGAAAATATATTCTGTTTATGTTGAAAACAGTTATGGGGATCGCATTTTAAAGTATGAAAAGAAACGAACTGAGTGGAAATTCTAGTCATCGTCATGGAATTTTCTTATGGATTGTTTCATATGTCGAAATCTCTGACGCTCCATAATTTCAGTATCAAGCATTGTTGAATCGGCAGCAACGCCAACGACCTGTCGTTCAGATTCAAATATTTTTTCATCGTGTTCAAGTGTAATTCATCGATCTCATGTATGCTCAGCTGAATTCAGCAGCAAAAACGAGAGGTTCTGGTTAATTTATTAGTAATCTAAATTTTAATTTCGTTTTGCATCTAATACCTTTGCTTTTATGTGTTGTCGTTATTAGTTTTTCAAACAGTTTCAATTAGTTCCATGCAAATTTAAAAACGATTGTCAATTTCGGCATACGGTTCACTGAAAATATCTGATCCCAGTCTTGACTCTATATGATTATCTTCAGTATTCAGTTGTCACAAGATGATTCATCCGTTTCGCGGGACAACGCCTTCAACTGTGATGTTCGACCTTCATCGATTTCATTGAGTAGTGGAGGTTCAGAAAACCGTGGCCATTCACCTGTGATCAGCTCAAGAAAAAGGCAAGGATTGGATGTAGTTATGGCATGATTCGCCGAGAAAGCATTTCACAATGTAATAATTATTCTTATAGAATGGCATCTAATCCTGAATCGGCCAGATGTCGACCATGGGAAGGTCGTTTCAAACGGAAAGAGTTGAGCAAGGTCGATAGTGATACCGGAGTTGACAATAAACGTAAGTTTATTTTGAAGTTTTTCATATCACAGTAAGAAATATTCCCACTATGAGATGGTTTCTTTCAGATGTTCATTCAAATCGCAAACTCAGAGATGCGGATATTACCGACGATGTTAGGATTGAGATTGAAGAGGATGAAATGTTCGAATGATGGCAATTTTTTTCAGAATAATGTCATTTCATCAAAGATTTATTGTGATTGTTATCAGTGTTTTTTCTTATCATTCTTACTATTATCGCCATATTTTTTTCAGTAAGCTTTGATGAATGTTGAAAGAACTTCCAATGAATTTGTCAATTTATTGTTCTCTTTATTATTGTGATTGATATTTTCAATTCAAGTCAGAGAATGGAAAAGAATGTTAGTGGTTTCATGCATATTGTCCGTATGTTTTTGATTATTTTGTATACTTTCTAAACTTGTATAGATGTATAAGTGTCATTATGATTCGTTGCTGGAGCCTTTTGTGATTTGTTGCTAATAACTGTTGAGGTGTCTGTAAATGTGCACTGTTTGTAAATTGTTTGTTCTTTGAAAATTTCATTTCGATTGAATTCCAATAAAGTTTTATGCATTAATTTGTTCGATTCATGATTTCCATTGTTATACGTTGTAGGCGTTAATCGGTAAAATATCTGCATGAAATGTGAAAGCATGCACTGAGTCTATGCGAGGAACCAGAAAGTAGATGGTTGCTTTAGTGAGCGTTTGCTAC